GCGAGGCGAGGCCGATCCGGGCGCTGAAGCTGCTGCTGCTGGCGGTGCTGCTGGCGGTGCTGCTGGCGGTGCTGCGCTGCGTCCCCAGCCAACGCAGCAAAACTCGACCGCCTCGGGCGTGTCGGGGCAGACGGTGTACTACGACGCCCGTCCAGCGCTGTAGGCAGTAAAAGCACGGCAGTCTCATACACACCCTGTCACTACACTATCCGCCCGACATGGAGCATCACACGCATGAATCCGCAATGCATTCCTTCTGGAACGGACGCTCTGGTCGCATCGAGTGCATGAGCCAGAATCTCGGCACGAGCAGCAAAGCTTGAAAATCGGAAAATCGGCGGGAAATTCGCGAGATTCGCGTGATTTGGGTGGTTTGGGTGGTTTGGGTTGAGGGCACGTTGGCTGCACTGCGCCAATCAACGGCTCGAGCTGCACAGCGACGCTTTGGCGCATTGGTTCTGTGCTGTGCTGCCGAGCCAAAAGCGTTGGACTGCACTGCACGGTGACCAAAAGCGCGGATCTGTGCAGCGTCATCTGGTCAGAGAGCCGCCTCGCTTCGATCCCAATTTCAGCTCTCGGCGGCGGCTGAGCGTACAACCAGCTGCCAAGGCGTCAAGTCGAGCTTACGCTTCTTGCGCAACTCACTTCATCTTCTTCGGCCTTTTCCTTTCCTTTCATCCCCACGGACTCTTGTCGACGTCTTTGGCACACCGACAATGATGCCGCAACGTACACTGCCCGCATCGCGCCTCGCCAACGGCATGGCAGCCTCGTCCAATCCATCTCGCGCACACTCCTTCGTCAAGCTCGCCATCGTGGCTCTCACCGCCGTGCTGCATCTCATCGTGCCTGTCCTCGCCGCACCCTTTTCGTCTGCATCGACACTCTCCCTCAATGCACCCAACCAGCAGGCCTACTCGGCGTCTCGCCACAACCACGAGGAGGACGACCCGGTGAGCGACAACCCGTTCAAACTCGCCATCGACATCCTCACCATCGCCGCGCTCGTCGTGCTCGGCGGCATCTTCGCCGGCCTCACCCTCGGTCTCATGGGCCTCGACATGGTCAACCTCCAGGTCTTGGCCTCCTCCGGCTCCGAAAAGGAACGAAAGCACGCGTCCAAGGTGCTCAAGCTCCTCGAAAAGGGTCGCCACTGGGTGCTCGTCGTGCTGCTGCTCGGCAACGTCATTGTCAACGAGACGCTGCCCGTCTTCCTCTCCGACTTTGGAGGCGGAATCGCCGCCGTGCTCACCTCCACCTTCCTCATCGTCGTGTTTGGTGAGATCGTGCCCCAGAGCATCTGTGCGCGCTACGGCCTCGCCATCGGCGCCTTCTGCGCGCCCATGGTGCACGCCACCATGATCATCCTCGCGCCCATCGCCTGGCCCACCGCAAAGCTGCTCGACTGGTGCCTCGGCGAGGAGCACGGCACCACCTACCGCAAGGCAGAGCTCAAGACCTTTGTCTCGCTCCATCAGCAGATCGGCACCGAGCATCTGCACGAGGACGAGGTGACCATCATCCGCGCCGTGCTCGAGCTCAACGACAAGACGGTCCGCGACGTCATGACGCCCATCGAGGACGTCTTCATCATGTCGAGCGACACCATCCTCGACGACGACGGCGTCGCCAAGCTCGTCAAGTCCGGCTACTCGCGCGTGCCCATCCACGAGCCGGGCAAGAAGGACGCCATCGTCGGCATGCTCCTCGTCAAGAACCTCATCCAGTACGACCCGGAAGACGCACAGGCCGTGTCGAGCTTCCACCTCACGCCGCTGCCCGAGGCGAGTACCGACCTGACGCTGCTCGACTGCCTCAACTACTTCCAGCAGGGCCGCTCGCACATGATCCTCGTCTCGACGCATCCGGGCGAGTCGCGCGGTGCGCTTGGCGTCGTGACGCTCGAAGACGTCATCGAAGAGATGATCGGCGAAGAGATCGTCGACGAGACCGATATCTACGTCGACGTGCACAACAAGATCAAGGTGGTTCGCAACAGGCAGACGAACAATACGCCGGGTCAGAACTGGCAGCCCTTGATCCGCGGAATCATCGAGCGACGTCGCAAGCTCGGTGGGCCCATGAAGGCTCCCCTCCGTAGCAGCTATGGTACCGTTGGTATCATGGATCATGATGGGAGTGGCAAGACGGATCGCAAGTACGGAGTGCCCAGTACGAGCGTTCGGGCTGTGGATAAGGTGGCGATCAAACGGCCGGGGTCGCCGCAGTCGATGGCGAGTGCCTCGCGCAAGAATTCGGGCACCTACGAGCCGAACGCCCCCCTGCGTCGTACGAGCACCTCGAGCGTAGTCACCTCGATCGACGGTCTGAATTACCAGGATCTGCACCGGGCGGTGGTGCAGCAGGGCACGGCAAGTGGGCAGAACTCGTACTCGGAACCATACATCGTCGAGGTGGGAAGTCAGGATCGCCAGCCGCACATTGTGCGCATTTCGGACATTCAGGAGTATCCCGGTGCAGAAGAGCGCGCTCGGAAGGACGACGAAAGACGCAATCAGCAAAATGGCGGCGAGGGGGCGCAGCAGGACGACAGCATAGAGGAGGGCGAAAGACGGCCTCTGCTAGACCGAAAAAAGTAGATTCCCTGGTGGGATTTCCCGCAGAAAGACGGCACCGGGGAAGAGAAGGACACTATGCGCTTGGGACAGCGTTGCAGGGCGTTTGGAAGGTGTGCGCATTGCACTGTTGTTTTGCCGGATGCATAGGTGGGAGCCAGCGCGTGTCAATGTCCCGTTTTGCATCGCCTCAATCGCATATGACGACCAACGAGGAATTGGCGCAGCAAGCGTGTGCACATCGAGTGAGCTTGACAGCACGCACATCACGCCGAGCCTGAAGAGAGTCGCTTGGATCATGACCAGCACGTGCCAACTAGTCGATGAGCGTCTCGATGGCGAGTGAGGCTGACGGCTTATCCTCGCTTCGTCAATGACACCACCACCGACGCGCGCCGACATACGATACCGCACAACCAGTAAGGCGCACACTCAGAGTAAAGACAGCGTGTGTACCTCGCATCAACACAAACACCTCGCATCAATCCACGACACGATATGATGGCATTGCTTTGATTACGTGCCACGCAGCCGGTGCACCGCTCACCCAAACTTGCTCCCGTCGCGTGCCAGCGCTCACAGCTTGCTGCGGTTGGGTGCAAAGGATGACCTGCCCCTGTTTGGTTGGCGCCGGCAAAGCAAAACAAGCGCGTGTGAATGACCATTCCCTCGCCTCGAATCACGACACCACGACCAAACCGCGCCGACGACTGAAGGGCGAATTGGACTTGACATTGACGCATGCACCTCAGTGGTGGGCTGAAATTTACCTTCCGTACAGAGGCGGCAGGGCAGGCTTGTTTCCGAGCAACTCGTCGATCTGCGCCATGATCTCGGGCGTAAGCTTGTCGAGCAGCTCGAGCGACTTGAGGTTTTCGATGATCTGCTCGGGCTTGGACGCGCCCAGAATCACGGTCGAGACGTTGGGATTCTTGGCACACCACGCCAGCGCAAGGTTGGTCACCTTGGCACCCAAGCCCTCGGCAATGGTGGTGAGCTTCTGCACCTTTTCGATCTTGGCCTTGCCCTCGGGCGTCTGGAGTTCCTTGACCGTGTTGTCGAAGAAGCTCTTGTTGGTGTCGAAGCGCGAGCCCTGCGGGATGCCGTCGTTGTACTTTCCCGTGAGCAGGCCGGATGCGAGCGGAGACCAGATGGTGGTACCGTAGCTGTGCGACTGGTACAGCGGGTCGTACTCCTTCTCCGGGCGTTCGCGGTGGAACATGTTGTACTGGCACTGATCCGCAACGGGAGGGATGAGGTTGAGACGGTTCGCCACCGCATGTGCCTCCTCAATCTGCTGCGCCGACCACTCGGACGTGCCCCAGTAGAAGCACTTGTCGCTCTCGATGAGCCTGTTGAATCCGCGCACGATCTCCTCCATGGGAACCGTGGGATCGGGTCGATGAGCCATGATCACGTCCCAGTACTCCAGACCCGAACGCTCGAGACTCGCCTTGGCCGCCTCGACAATGTGCTTGCGACTGAGCCCGCGTCCGTTGGGATCCTTGCTGCCCGTGCCAAAGAAGATCTTGGTGATGAGCACGAGGTCCGAACGACGCAGGTTGAGCTCGCGCACCGCCTTGCCCATGTCCACCTCGCACTGCCCCGCCGAATACACCTCGGCGGTGTCGAAGGTGTTGATGCCGTTCTCGAACGCCAGCTTGACGATCTGCTTGGTCTCCTCGCTGTTCACCGTGCCGCCGTACGTGAGCCAGCCACCGAGCGAGAAGAGCGACACGCGCAGTCCCGAGGGCCCGAGCCGACGGAAGATCATGTTCTTCGGATCATACTCGGGGCAGTCCTTGGGGTTGGCAGCGGTAGGGGCCATTTTCACAGAGGGCAGGAGAGGATGTTGAAGAAGAGCGAAGGTGTGTTGCGGCTGGGAAGCGAGCGGGGCGTTTGAGGCAGCTAGCTATATATGGCCGCAGCGGCAAGGCTCAGTTCTGGCTGCCACGGCACTGGTGAGGGCTGTCCGGCTCGGGATGCTCGTCTCGGAGCGACCGAGGACTGATGGATAGCCGGAGCCTCGTGCTTGTCATCACCCCGCACGGGCCAAAGTGCGCCGAAAGCCAGACGGAAAGAAAGCCGACCGAGATCGGACGAGCGAGCGCCGACCAACTCCGCGGGGGTGCAGAACAAAATGTTAAGTCGGAAAAGACCAAAGCTCGGCACTCGGGAAATGTGGGGGGGGGGGG